CCCCAAAACCCCAAAACCCCAAAACCCCGTCTTACGTAATAAAAGCAATTTAAAGAATTAAACTGAAATGGAGAGCAATACAAGAAAAACAATAAAGAAAGTAAACTTCTCATACTTCTAATTCTAATTGTTTCATGATTATATAGTCAATTACTTAAATGAAAGAGAAAGATACAGCCAAAGGAAATTTACTTGAAAAAATTCATGATGTTATCCAAAAGGTCTATGTTTATACTCCTCAGGAATGCTATGAAGCTATGAAAGAATGTAAGGATCTTTATTCCTGATATGATCATAGGCTTTATACAAAGTAAAAGGATAGATGAGTTACTTTTAGAGCTTCATTAGAAGAAGATTATGATTTTGAAAGCTCCTAAAAGGCAAAAATACAAGCTGATATTTTAGCGTAATTTGGAAATAATGGGGGATACAAATAAGAAAGTTAGAGAGTACTGTGTGATTATAGTCAGAAATTTGAAGCATTAGTTAGGATTCAAAGAAGTTGATGATAATCAAGATTAAAATTCTTTTGACTAAGTATATGAAAAAATGCTAGAAAATAATGAAGACTATGATAGCGTTTTTTCAAGTGAATCATTAAGCTCAAGATTCACACCACAGGATCCCAATGACCACTTAACATTGGATAAAGTTCATAGCGACTATGTATAGTCAATGGTATCTCATAATGACATTGCCCAGACTATACTATAAAACGAAAAAATGTTTAATTCTTTAGGAGAACTCATACTTAATGGAGAAAAAGATACTAAAATCGAAAATTAAAATAAAAATAGTATGAATTCTATTGAGCCCAAAGAACAAATAATTATTGAGGAATCAAAATAATAAGAATTTTAACCAAAAATAAAGCTAACAGAAAGTAACTTCGATCTAGCTTATAATAATATTATAGATAACATCACTTAATTTTGTGATGAAGAAGAATCTAAAGTTACTAAGGCTATGATTGAGGAGATAGTAAAATAAGAAAGTTCTAACACTCTTGAATCATAAAATGTTTAAAGTCAAAATTTCTCAACAAACTGTTTAGATGATACTGAATTCACTAAGCGAATGTTGAAGATTTATGAAGAGAAAAATTTTGAAGATCAAAGTTTAATAAACAAGTTCAAACTGTAACAAGAAATAGTTAATCCACATGCATGTACACTAGTAGTTATTTGTGTATTAAGGCTATTTGAAATCATAAATGATCTAAGTTAGTAAGCATTATCAAGTGGAAAAAGAATCGAATCAACACTAATAAAAAGAATTTATATAACATGCGCCAAAGCCTATGTATCTGATTTGGTACTCTACTCTGCTATGTCAGCTCCATCCTAGGATTTATTTTATCAAGAGACTTATACCTCCTCTTGGAGACTTCTTATTGAAAATTTTGACTGTTATAGTTTTCCTGATAACTCTAAAGTAGTGAAAGCTTACAAGAATTTCTTCTCTTATGTTGCAGTAGGAAAAGCGATAATTAGTAAAAACAATAAATCAGATGGTATTGTTAAAAAGGCTTTCAAGTATAGTTATTTTGGTGCTTATTATTTCCTGTAGAGGAAAAAATGTAATGATTATAGTGATCTCATTAATGCTAATCCTGATTTGAACTTAAGTGTAGAACTCTGGAATCTTTTAGACAATAAAATTGTGATGTAAGCGATGGAAATATTGCTACCTTCCATCAAAATTAACAAAAAGATATATATACCAATGATTGATACTATTCTAACCAAAGATAATATAAAAAAGTTGCCTAGTTTTGAGGACGAAAAGAAACAGGGAAGATCCTTTGATGAAGGTAGAAAAAGCATTCATAAAATACTAGCTAGAAATAGAATGAATTTAGTAAATAGCGGTGGGGAAATAGAGTTCGAGGATATATTTATTGAACCTTTAATTAACTAAAAAAGCAAAAATTATAATTCAAACACTCATGTTATGGTAAGGATATTATCTTCCAAAAAGTTAGGAGTCAACCTAAATACTGGAATAATTTATGACGTTAAATAAAAGATCAATTAAGGATAAGTAAAAAAACCCAGTATTTTGACTTAGATGTATAAAAATGTAAGGGACAGGTTTATCTCAAAAATACCTAGATAGGATGGAGTCATTATTCATGTTCATGGTGGAGGTTTTGTAGCAATGAGTTCGGGAAGCCATTAAAATTATTCAAGAGTATGGGCTAATGAATTAGGAGCACCCATTTTATCAGTTGATTATAGATTGGCACCTGCTAATCAGTTTCCAGATGCATTGAATGATGTTTGGCAGGTCTATTACTGGGTTGTTTAATACGGAGAGTCATATTTAGGAGTAAAGATTGATAAAATAGTATTGGTTGGTGACTCTGCAGGAGGAAACTTAGTTGCTGCAGTTACAATCATGGCTATTGAAAGAAATTTTAGAGTACCAGATGGAGTAATTCTTTGTTACCCAGCTTTAAGTTTAGATAAATTTAGATTTACCCCTTCACTGCTTTTAGGAATAGATGATCCAATCTTGCCATATCCATTTTTAAAGATGTGTATAGATTCTTATACTGGAGATTATTCATAGCATCCAGATTGTGATCCAAGAATAAATTAATATTTATCACCTGCTTGTGTTTCTGATACAACTTTGTAGCAATTTCCACCTTGTAGAATAATGGTTGCATCTAATGACCCTTTAAGAGATGAAAGTTTTAAATTTACATTGAGATTAGCAAAGCTAAACAGAGATGTCAAATTAAAAGAGTATATGTATATGCCTCATGGTTTTTTAAATTATAATGCGCCTATGCTTGGGATGAAAGAAGAATCAAATGAATGTATAAGCTAATGTATTACTTGGATTAAGGAGCTAATCTCTTAAAACTGATATGATTTCAAATTGAAATGAAATTATGAAAATAATCTTTTTTAAATTATGGTACCTATTGTTACTATTAAAGTTGATTAATGATTTCTATGACTTATGGGGTTTTGGGGTTTTGGGG